GCATTCAACATCATATACATCGATTGCTTTAAGAAGATGAACATCCAAAGCCCTGACATACGCCCGGCTACACTACCATTGATGGGCTTCTCAGGTAACACTATTATCCTAACAGGAATAGTGAGACTTCCCATCATGGTAGGGTCGCATCCCTGGATGGTTACACTAACCATGGATTTCGCTATAATAGATGCACCCTCGCCTTTCAATGTGATCTTAGGACGACCATGGATGTGTCAGGCTCAAGCAATCTGGTCTCCTTATCACTTGATAATGAAATTCCCAACAGAATATGGAGTAGGAGTAGTGTAAGGATGCCAACGCAGTTCTCGGGAATGTCTGCTCACAGCAGTCAAGAGTGGGAAGAAACCCATGAAGTCTAATACAAGCATTGCCATGTCCGGATGTTACTCGATCCAACAGACAGATCACAACGCTGTTAATCTACCACCACTTAGCAGCAAAACCCAAGAGGTTATTCTCCAGGAGAAGGATCCTTTCCAGACCATCTAGATAGGAATATCTCTTCAAGGAACGTTGCTAGTTGAGTTAGTCGCCTTGCTACACGAGTTTCGTGATATATTCGCTTGGTCACTAACAGGCATGACATGAGTACCACGAGATGTTATTGAACATAAGCTGAATGTTGATCCCAATGTCAAACCCTTGCAACAAAAGAAAAGAATATCCGATAAAGATCGCAACGATATAATCAATGAAGAAACATTAAAGCTGGTCCACGTTAACATCCTCTGTGAAGTTCTCTAGCCGACTTGGTTAGCTAATCCAGTCTTGGTGCGGAAGCCTGATAATTCTTGGCGCATGTGCCAAGATTACACAGATCATAATAAATACTGTCTGAAGGATTGTTATCCCTTACCAATCATAGATTAGATGGTCGAGGGTATCACAGGGTATAGAACCCTCAGTTTCCTCGATGCCTATAAAGGGTACCACCAAATCCTCATGGCATGAGAAGATGCAGAAAAGACGGCCTATATTGTCGAGATCGAGGTATATTGCAAACGACAAGATGCCTTTTGGCTTGAAAAATGCCGGTGCAACCTATCAGCGCCTCGTTAACCGAGCATTCTATGACCAGATTGGTTGAAATATTGAGATATATGTGGATGACATGGTGATCAAGAGTAACAAAGATGAGCACGTAGTCAAGGGTATGCGTAAGATCTTCTCAATTCTCCGCAAGATCAATATGAAGCTCAGCCCGAAAAAATGTGCCTTCTGCGTATCCTAGAATACCACGTCTCCAAAGACGGAATCACTGTCGATCTAGGGAAAATCGAGGATATCCTAGCCATGGAAGCCCCGAAGAATGTCAAAGAAGTTCAAAAACTCACAGGATCTTTAGCTGCCTTAAATAGGTTTCTCTCTCGAGCCGCAGAAAAAAGCCTCCCATTCTTTCACACGCTCCACAAAGACAGAAAATTTGAGTGGAATGAGGAATGCCAAAAAGCCTTTCAGGAGCAAAAGGAGCATCTCAAACAGCTGCCAATATTAGCCAAATCAGAACCAGGAGAAACCCTACATGTGTACCTTGCTGCTCAAGAAAAAACCAAATCAGCCGTCCTAGTTCAAAACAAGGATGGCAAAGAGATCCATGTTTACTTTGTCAGTAAAGTGTTACAAGGGGCAGAGTCACGATACACACCCATGGAAAAGCTTATCTTAAGTTTAGTTCTTGCTGCTCTACGCTTGAGCTCGTACTTCCAAGCACATCCAATAAGAGTGTTGATAGAACAGCCCCTCCAGCAAGTTCTTCTCAAGCCAGAAGCTTCCGGCAGAATGATGAAGTGAGCAGTCGAGTTTGGGGAGCACCATATCGAGTACAAGCCGAGAAGGCAATCAAAGGTCAAGCTTTCGCAGATTTCCTTGTAGAGATGCCTTGCACTACTGATATTCCGGAAGTCGTAGAGCCTAGGAGTCACCCCACTACCCACTTCAAGGTTAACCCTCGAGCCTGGACACTATACGTCGACGGCTCTTGTTGCGACGAGGGGGGAGGAGCCAGTATCATACTAGCAAAGCCATCGGCTGATCCTTAGATCGAGAGCATGAAAGAATATGATGCGTAGTACACCTACGCACTGAGATTCGGCTTCCCAGTTCCTAAGAATGTGACTAAATATGAAGCATTGATAGCAGCGTTAAATACGGCTTTAAAGCTTTGGGTTCGAAAGCTTCAAGTTTTTAGTGACTCCCAGGTACTGGTGAATCAAATCGTAGGTGATTATACAGCAAATGATGAGCAACTCAAGCAATATCTAGAGAAAGTTCTCGAGCAAAAAGATATGTTTGAAGAGTGCACTATTCCCCACATCATATGGTCGAGAAATAAGAGAGCTGATGCGTTGAGCAAGTTAGCCTCCTCGAACTTTGAACATCTCAGCCACAAGGTTTGAACATCTCAGTCACAAGGTTTGCAAGGTTCACATAATGACCATTACTGAGGATGGAAACACATGGATGACCCCGTTCATTCAATATCTTGCAGACAGGACGTTGCCAGTTAACAAATTAGACGCTCGAGTGCTCCAGTTGAAAGCAGTCAAGTACACTTTAAGAGATGGGGTGCTATATAAGCACAGGTACCTGCTACCCATGCTACGATGTATTGGACCGAAACAAGCAGCTTATATCCTCGAGGAAATACACGAGAGATCATGCGGAGCACACATGAGAGCTAGAGCACTTGCTGAGAAAGTACTGCGTTCCGGGTATTTTTGGCCCACGGTCTTCAAAGATGCATACCAGTTTGTACAAAAGTGCAATAGATGTCAGCGCTTTTCTCCCATTGCTCGACAACCACAGCATGAGATGGTCACCATTCAAAGTCCTTGGCCATTCTATCAATGGGGCACTGATGTCATCGGCATTTTTCATCCAAAAGGGGTAGGAGGACTGAGATGGGTAATCGTAGCAGTAGATTACTTCACTAAATGGGTAGAAGCTAAACCGTTGGCCTCAATATCAGGAAGGAAGGTATTGCATTTTTCCTGGCAAAACATCGTTTGTCGTTTTGGAGTTCCTAGGGTCATTGTCTCCGACAACGGAACTCAATTCAAAAGCAACCCCTTCAAGTCATGGTGCGAAGAGATGCAAATTGAGCGCCGTTTCTCAAGTGTAGCTCACCCTCAAGCTTATGGCCAAGTAGAATCAATTAATAGAACTATCCTGCATAGAGTCAAGACCAGGTTGCACGACGCTAAAGGAGCTTGGGCCAAGGAACTTTCTCACGTCCTGTGGTCATACCGCTCTACTGCCCACTCCTCAACGGACGAAACTCCCTACAGTTTGGTCTATGGCATGGATGCGGTTTTCCCAGTCAAAATAGGCCTAGCAAGTCCTCAAACAATCAACTTTGTTGAGAGCTCTAACGATGATGATATCATACTAAACCTCAACCTGCTCGAGGAGCGACGGGATTCCGTCAGGATCAGGGAGGCAAAGTACAAGGAGATCCTCAGGAAACACTACAATAAGTGAGTCAAGGCAACAGATCTCACGGTGGGAGATCTTGTACTTAGGAAAAATGAAGCCAATCGAGCCGAAGCTCCAAGGAAACTCACTGCAAATTGGGAAGGACGTTACAAAGTCATTCAAACCTCTCTAGCAGGCAGCTACCACCTACAAACCACAGATGACAGTGGAACCATCCTCTCTTGATGGTGGAACATTCAGAACCTCTGCAGGTTCTATGTTTAAGTCTTTATGTGCTACTCGCTAGTTTAGGTTATTTGCTTAATTTGCTTTGCTGCTTTAACTTCCTCATATGTAATGCTAACCTGGGTATTCGGGTAATTATTCAATAAAAGTCATTGCATATTTTCTCACATTGTCGACATTATTGTGACTAGTCCTCAAGATGGACTCTCTCTTTAGGGCCATCCTTGTCCTGAGCTGTGTATTCAACATCCGGACAAAAATCGAGGAATTTCCCTCATACCCGCCGCAGATCGCGGTATTAGATCGAGGAACTCGTACCCAGTTTCCTCGAGAGAGCCGTATACTTTACATCCGGCCAAAAAGCGCTATATAAATAATAAACTCGAGTTTTATAAAGCAATGATACATTTGCTACCTTCAGACACTGTGCGAGGTTCTAGTGAACATACACGTTTTCCTACACTATTACAAGAACTTCCCTACTTGGATTATCAGGAGAGGGGTGAATGCCTCTAAACCCATGCTGGCTGAGGAGGTTTACACATTGGTTGATTTTGTCCTTGAGATCTACGATCTCCTCATCTTGGGCATGTACCCTCAAAAGAAAATTCTTCTCGAGAACTCCTGGTCTAGGGATCTTGCATCTCCTCGGGCTTCTCAAAGCTTTGAAAGCCACTGTTATGATCCAGCAATAAGTTCTAAAGCTATTTGATATATTCCATAAGGAGCTCGATCTCACGAGTTCTTTCTTTTAGAATGTCCATTGCTAAAATGAATCGGCAAGTCCTTATCGAGATCATGTGCTGTACTCGGGCGAGTACGTGATGCTTCTCGAGAAACCATGGTGATACGGTAATCTGTTAATTCTGCCTCAGCTGGGTATTTTCCTTCTGCAAAGCAACCAGTTCATCATGAATATCAGTCTCAAAAGTCAAAGAATAACCATAATCCTTATCTTTCTGGTAGTCTCGCCGTTGTATCTCTTCACGAATCCCTTTGATCTCATCAATCAAATGCTGATTGACCTTCACATTGTGCACTCGCATAGCATCGAGGAACTATGGATATCTGCGGGGCTTCTCATAATATTGCTAATCATCGAGTATAGAGGGTATTCTCTTGATTGTTCCTCAGACAAAATCATGAGGTGAATTCGGTGAACAGACCATCTATCCTGTTCCATGGAAAAGTGTAAAGACCAATATCAAACTTGGAAGGCAAAACAGCGCAACATTCATATAAGGTCCAGATAAAAACGAGAGTTGATTACAAAAATAATTGTTCAGATTCCTAACAGCTATTACAAAAGGAAGAGTTCATTTAGTATCTTGACCAGAAGAGGCGTTCCTTGGATGGCTCTGAGATGCCTCTCCAGCATTCTTCTGCACTCCCGAGTTGCAAGTTTCAGCCACATCTTCCTCTTGGGCTGCATCATCATCATCCTCGAGCTCGATGCCAATATATTCGTCCGGCGCATCAAGGATTGGCTCTTCTTCACTGGGCTCCTTGGATAAGACTATAGCAAGGTCACCAGGGAACATGGTGATATTTTCAGGAGTGCACATCTTAGCAAGAGCTCCGCACAAAGACTCCCATAGGAGTAGTTGCTCGATGCTCAGCTTGTAAGAGCTTTTACCAACTCCTCGTGCATGGTCTTCTTGGGACTCTCCCTCAAGAACTATTTGAACCACTTAGCTTTAATGGGCATGTCCCTTTTATGCCTCTTGAGGCCTGCAACAGCAACTTTATGGGCTCCATACTCTGTGGCAGCCATATTGACCTCCTCGATAACTCCTGCCATTCCACCCGTAGATAGCATCCTGAACCAGAAGGCAGCACACCACTTGTGGAGGTCCTCCCTCGAGATATGCAGATTGGCAAAATCTTTAAGCTTCTCGTCCAATTCATTGTACTTAGCCTGCACAGAGGCTAACTCCTATTCCTTGGCCTGTATCTCCTCCAGAGCAACCTTCTCGATCAGCGCTTGGTCCCTCTTGGTTCGAGCTTGGACCAGTTCTAGCCTCATTTCCTTGAGTGCATCAAGTAGGCGATCAAGGTCGCACTCATCTGCAAAAGTTGTTGGCTAAGGTGAATTTAATCCATAAAAGGTTGACAAGAGTATTCACCAACTGACATGAAGTATTTACCAGCCTCACGTTGTTGGTTTCTGTTAGTTACGCAGCAAATTCTTCCAGCAAGGGGCATTCAATGGTTGGGGGATCGCTAAATGTGTGGACTGCCACAGTTGGTCCTCCCTCGAAAATACGGGAAGGCAGAATGATTGCTTCCCCCTCGAGAGGACCCTTACCTTTGTCCATGGCAGGTGGTTTATTGCTTGGCTCAGGGTCCATTGGTGGAACGGTGGTCTTCTCGGCCATTGGAGGCACAACCTTCTCTCCTTGCATTGCTGGCTCAGTTATGTGAACGTCAGCCTTTGCCTTCTTCTTCGACTCCTTTATACAGCCCTTCATGATTCTCTTCTTTTTCTTCTTGGCTCCAGCAGCTAATGTGGTGGATGCTTCTTCATCTGAATTCACAACGGGAAAGGGGTCTTCGTCACCATAAAGTCGAGAAGTAGCATTGCTCGATGACATGACCTAAAAACAGCAAAAGGAATAAAAATAGGTTTGTACCTTTTTCCTCCTCGACATGGAGATTAGTATCTTTTTCCTCCTCAATAAGAACAGGGGGAATGTAGTACTGCACACTACTCTATTTAATAAGTTTTGGATACTTCAAGATTTTCTTCAGTTCGTCGTCACACTCCTCGACGCTCTCATCAACTTTCTTAGTCCATTCATCCTTTATTGCCCCGAGACCTTCTACTTCTTGATGGTTCTATGCCACGCAATAATTCTCAGGGGCCTTCACAAACAGATAGTCCGGCTTCTATTCAGGTGAGCCTCCATACGCCTCAACAATCTTCTTAATACCCAATCTAGGACGTTTTTTAACAATATACCAATCTTGGAATGATATCGAGAGGACAACAACTTGGAAAAAATACCACCACAAAATCAGTTGGGGTTTCACCTTTACTCGTTCGCACATTGATAATGGCTAAATTGTTACATAAAAGCATCACAATTAACTCTGTATTTGATAAAAAAAAATTGGGGGTATTTCCTAACATTGGTGCAATTTACTTAACTCGTTTTCGTGTTGTTGTTAGGTAAGGGCTGGATTGAATAATTGCTGAAAATTGGAAGCCAAAGGAACAATTTATGGGCTGCTGAGGCAAGGTTGCTGAGCTGGACGAAGAAGAAGGCCCTTAGACAAGAAGCATCTTGTCATTAATGACTTTGCCTCCTCCTAGAGGCATGCTTGTCCCCCAGCCGCAATCTCAGCCATCACTACTGATCAATGAGAGCAAGACGGCCACTGCTGGAAGAAGAGAAAAAGAATGGCCAAGTTGGATTGCAGGCTCAAGACATTGGGAGGATTAAACAACTACAAGCATGGGGAGGCTCTCATGATGAAGACACCGGTTGCAAGGCCCTATAAAAGAGGGAACTGCACTCTCAAATGGGAATCCATCTCAATCTCTCGTTACCCTTTCAGTTGCTAAAAAACACCCAGAAAAACTCCAGGTAGAAGGCAAGAAGAAGAAGAAGTAGCAACAACTCAGTGAGGAAGCCAAGTTGAAGAGTAGCAACCCAGTTTCTTCTCAGTTCCACGAGTGAACCCTTCCACTCCCAGGAGTGGCTCAGAAATTGCACAAGCTTTCTTCTCATCTCTTGACTGTTAGCTTGAACTTTGTTTACTATGCTTACTTCTATGATGTCTTTTGATGTAGTAAATGTAGCATTAATCCGTATGAGTAGCTAAACAGTTCCCAGGAGTTATTCTCCTCGACTGATGTTGTAGTTGTTGAGGCACTGGTTTTGTTCCTTGTTTTATAGTTGAAAGTTTTTCTACATTCATTTACTTGATCACTAAATTGAATGCATGCTAGAACTAAGTGAGATCTGGAAAGATAAACTTGGTTTGGATTGTTTCAACTTTGACTTATGACATAGAGGTAACAGTCTATGGTTTTAACTAAGATAGGAATATACTTAGTTGACATAAGCATTCTTGAAGGCCTAAGAACTTAAGGACTTTGTAACTGGAATCAATCATTAGAAAATAGATTCTTAAGGTTGCAAAGATGACTCTAGGAAAAATGAGAACTGACTTAGAGTTATAAGTGAGCTGAATGAACAAGAACGTAACCATTACAGTGCTCATAAAACAACTACAACAGTAGGAAGAGGAGAAGACACCCCTGGCTTTTATTCCCCTGAGTGACTGTTTCCATTCCCCTGAGTGACACCTTGTCTGACTGGTAGTGTTTCTTTACAACAAATTTGGTAATTAGGTGTCCTCGTGGGATCGACCTAGCTTCCATTATCTAAAAAAAAAATCATAATCCAAGCTAGTAATATTTTTTTGGTGAACTCGGCACGCACCAGAAAGTGGCGCCGTTGCCGGGGACGGCGTAAAACCTCCAAAAATTTGTTGTTTTTGTTTGTTTGTACATATATAAAATTCTTCTCTGTTTACCTCACTAAGCTTCCAGTTTCTTTTCTTTGGTGTATGACTAGAAGGCACCAACGAAGTGAACCTGTTTTTGACCCAGAAATTGAAGCTACCATCCGTAGAACCAGAGCAGCAAGAAGAAGCCAGAACCGGTTGCAACAGGACAACCAAGAAGGTTCATCTGAAATGGCTAACCAAGGTGGTAATCCGGAGAACAATAGGAACCCTGGTGGGGATCAACAAATTCGACCAGAGAGACTGCTTAGAGATTTCTTCATCCCACAGCAAGAAGAAGTCCAATCTCCTTTAGTGTTCCCTGATGTAGAAGCAACCAATTTTGAGCTCAAGCCACAGATGATCCAATGGACTCAATCAGCCTGCCCATTCCATGGATTACCTCATGAAGATCCTAATGATCACATCCGAAGTTTCTGCGTTTATGCGGTACTTTTAAAATTCAAGGCTTATCTAATGATGACATTAGACTGAGACTATTCCCTTTTACCTTGCAGGATCACGCCCAAGCATGGTTCAACACATTACCCAACAACTCCATTTCCACTTGGGAAGAGTTAAGACAGTGTTTCCTGACAAAATTCTTTCCACCTGCAAAAGCTGCACAACTCAGAACAGCAATAATGAACTTCAAGCAGCATGGAACAGAAACACTTTATGAAGCATGGGAAAGATTGAAAGAAATGGTCAGAAAATGCCCTCAGCATGGTTTGGAAGAGCATCTTCAACTGAGCATCTTCTACAATGGTCTGCTACCAGCTACAAGAGACTCCCTTGATGCTGCAGCTGGTGGTGTATTTATGATGAACCCGGTTGATGCAGCAAGGCAGTTGCTCGACAATATGACCACCAACCATTCAAGATGGCAATCTGATCCAAGGGCAAGTACAAAACAGCCAGGGATGATGGAACTTGATCCCAGTACACATCTGCAAGCTCAAATGGCTGTTATGATGAACGAAATGACTAAACTCAGAAGTGAGCTGTCCAAATCCAAGGCAGAAGTATGTGTATTATGTGATGGATCCCACAGTTTGGATGGCTGTCCCTCCAAAATGGAAGTTGTCCAGTTTGTCAGACAGGGCAATGCTGGGGGATTCAACAACTTCAACAATTGGAGAAATCAGCAACAGACCAACTGGAACAATGCACCACAACAAGGAAACTATCAAAGGCCTGCTCAACCCCCAGGATTTCACAGACAAGATGGTCAGCTTCCCAACTATCAGAATCAGCAACGTTCTAACAACCAATACATACCAAGGGAAGATGAATGGGTTTATGTACAAAAAGCAATCAAGAGTTTGGCGGTGTCTTGCAAAAGTTTGGAAAATCAGTTGGCCCAGATTGCAAAACAAAATGCTGAAAGACCATCTGGGAGCCTGCCCAGTGATACAATTGTGAACCCCAAGGGGAATGACCAAGAGCAAGCAAAGGCTGTCACTCTCCGAAGTGGAAAGCAACTCAATCAGCCATGTGAAGAAGTCACTCCTGCGAGTGAACCTGCAGGTAAGGATGAAACTTCTTCTGAGCAAATATTTGATAATGATGATGTGGTTGAACAAGAGCAAACAGCTGAAAAACCTGGAATGGAGGAAATCCAATTTCCAGCACCAATTAAGGAACCACAACAGTCAGCTCCAACCCCACCATATCCAGTAAGACAAAAGAAAGCAAAAATTAATTAAGGGCTCAACAGGTTTATTCAGAATTTAGAAAGTATATATATTAATGTACCACTTGTTGATGCACTTAAACAAATGCCTAAATACTTCAAGTACTTGAAGGATTTGGTGGCAAATAAGCCACAAATGCATAACTCTGCTTTTGTCACTCTAAATGAAGAATGTAGTGCAGCTATCCTGAGAAAATTACCACCTAAGCTAAAAGATCCAGGTAGTTTCACTCTTCCTTGCACTGTAGGAATCAGAGAATTTTCAAAAGCATTACTAGATCTGGGTGCAAGCATAAATCTCATGCCATTGTCTGTATTTAAATCCCTTGATCTGGACAAATTTCTGGTACCTACTAACATGACCTTGCGGTTGGCGAGACGGATCACCGACCTACCCAAAAGGAATCTTACATGATGTTCTTGTGAAAGTTGGTAACCGTTTACCCAATGATTTTGTGGTTTTGGACATGGAAGAAGACAGGATGTACCCATCATCCCGGGAGACCTTTTCTCGGCAACAAGTGATGCAATCATTAAAGTGAAAAGGGAGAAATCACACTGCACTTTGATGGGGAGAAGGTTACCTTCAACATCTTCAAAAATATGAGATATCCAGCTGAAGTCCACGACTGCTACATGGTAAAAAATGTAGAAGCAGAGGAAGCAGTGACGGAAGAATTACTGCAAGATGATCTCCTCAAGGAACTTTTGTGCCCAGACTATAATGAGGAACGGGAAGGAGGGGATGAGTACGGGGCCACTTGCACGAGCTACGAACCACTCCCCCAAGTGGCATCCTAAACAGCAACCCTTTGAACTGATAAATCTGATCAAGGAAGGAAGATGCCTCAAACCTTCAATTGAAGAACCACCTCATCTCGAGCTTAATCCTCTACCCTCACATTTGAAGTACGCCTATATTGGAGCAAGTAACACCTTACCTGTAATCATTTCTTCTATGCTTACAGGTACTGAAGAGGACAAATTGCTGAGAGTACTAAGATTGCACAAGGAAGCCATTGGGTGGTCAATTGCTGATATTAAGGGCATCAGCCCCTCCATATGCATGCACAAAATCCTGCTTGAAGATGATGCCAAGCCAACCATTGAAGGACAAAGAAGACTCAATCCAGTCATGAAGGAAGTGGTGAAAAAGGAGATTATCAAGCTGCTGGATGCAGGGATTATCTTCCCAATATCTGACAGCAAGTGGGTGAGTCCAGTGCAGTGCGTGCCTAAAAAGGGAGGAATCACAGTGGTAAAGAATGACCTCCAGGAGCTAATCCCTACAAGGCTGAACAATTCATGGAAAGTGTGCATGGACTATAGAAAGCTTAATAAAGCTACCAGAAAGGACCAGTTTCCCCTTCCCTTTATTGATCAAATGTTGGATAGATTAGCTGGATTCATGTATTATTGTTTCCTTGATGGTTTCTCAGGTTACAACCAGATTGCCATAGACCCTGATGATCAAGAGGAGACGACTTTCACCTGCCCTTATGGCACATTTGCCTTCAAGAGAATGCCATTTGGACTGTGCAATGCACCGGCAAGTTTTCAAAGATGTATGATGGCCATTTTCTCTGATATGGTGGAAGATATAATTGAGATCTTTATGGACGATTTCTCGGTCTTTGGTAAGTCATTTGATGCATGTTTGGACAGCCTTGGACTGATACTGAAAAAAGATGTATAGAAGCCAACCTGGTTCTCAACTGGGAGAAATGCCATTTTATGGTAACTGAGGGAATTGTCTTGGGGCATAAGATCTCACAGGAAGGAATTGAAGTGGATAAGGCAAAGATCAAAGTCATTGAGAGGCTCAGCCCACCAACCACAGTCAGGGGAGTGAGAAGTTTCCTGGGCCATGCCGGTTTTTACAGGAGGTTCATTAAAGATTTTTCAAAAATTTCTAAACTTTTGTGCAATTCGCTTGAAAAGGACACTACTTTTATTTTTGATGAATCCTGTTTAAATGCATTCACTGAACTGAAAAAGAAACTCATCACCGCACCTGTGATCATCACACCTGAGTGGTCACAACCTTTTTAACTAATGTGTGATGCAAGTGATTTTGCAGTTGGTGTTTTACTTGGACAAAGAAAAAACAAGGTGTTACATGTGGTTTACTATGCTAGTAAAACCCTTAACTCTGCACCAGTCAACTACACCACTACAGAGAAGGAAATGCTGGCAATTGTATTTGCATTTGACAAATTCAGAGCTTATTTGCTAGGGATGAGAGTCATATTCTATACCGACCATGCAGCCATCAGGTACTTGATCAACAAAAAAGAGTCTAAACCAAGGTTGATTAGATGGGTGTTGTTGTTGCAGGAATTTGATTTGGAGATAAGAGACAGAAAGGGTGCTAAGAATCAGGTAGCAGACCATCTGTCAAGGCTTGAAGAAATTCCAGAAGAGACAACTCCAATTTCAGAAAAATTCCCCGATGAGTCACTCTGGCGAGTGACAGGCACACTCATGGGAGTGACAGGTAACAGGCCTTGGTTTGCAGATTTTGCTAACTTTGTTGCTGCTGGTGTTATTCCCCCAGATCTCACCCCTCAACAACGCAAGAGATTCTCGCATGATGCTCAACTCTACCTATGGGATGAACCCTACTTATTCAAAAGATATGCAGACCAATTGATCAGAAGATGCATTCCAGAATCTGAATTCACAGAGGTGTTGCACAAATGCCACAGTTCCCCCTATGGTGGACATTTTAACAGTCAAAGGACGGCAATCAAGGTTCTACAAGCTGGACTGTATTGGCCAACCCTGTTCAGAGATGCAAGAGAATTTGTCAAAAGCTGTGACCGGTGCCAAAGGACAGGAAATATTTCCTGGAAAAATGAGATGCCACAGCAGAACGTGCTTGAAGTGGAGCTATTTGATGTGTGGGGGATAGACTTCCTGGGTCCCTTCATGTCATCCTTTGGGAACTCCTACATCCTACTGGCAGTGGACTACGTTTCAAGATGGATAGAAGCTGTAGCTGCAAAGAACAATGATGCTAAAACTTTTCTCAGGTTCCTAAGAAAAAATATTTTCGCCAGGTTTGGTACACCCAGGATGATACTCAGTGATGAAGGATCACACTTCTGTAACAAGTCATTTGCAGCCATGGTAAAGAAATATGGAATCCGGCACAATCAAACAAGCTAGCAGAAGTGTCAAACAGGGAAGTGAAAAGAATCCTGGAAAAGGTTGTTAATTCTACCAGGAAGAATTGGTCTTCAAGGCTGGATGAAGTTTTATGGGCATATAGGACAGCATACAAGACTCCCATTGGTATGTCCCCGTTCAAACTGGTCTATGGGAAAGCATGCCACTTGCCAGTAGAATTGGAACATAAAGCTTACTGGGCTATCAAAGAACTGAATCTTGATCCGGGCAAAAGTAAGGAATTGAGATTGATTCAGTAAAAATGAACTGGAAGAATTTAGACTAGAGGCATACGAATCGTCCAGAGTCTACAAAGAGAAAACTAAGGTTTACCATGATCATCACATTGTCAAGAAGAACTTGCAAGAAGGACAAGAGGTCTTGTTGTACAATTCCAGGATGAAATTCTTTCCAGGGAAGTTGAAGTCAAGATGGACCTGGCCCTACAAAATCAACAAGGTCCTAACTCAGGGAGCAGTGGAGATCATGAATCCACAAAGTGGCAACACCTTTTTGGTTAATGGTCAGAGGCTTAAACCATACCTTGGATGGACAGAAGGGAGTAAAGGACAGAACTATCAAGTTCTGGTCCTGAAGGAACTTGACTGAAATTTCTTTTGAAGTCTGGCATGAGACTTAAAACCAATGCGCTTTATGGGAGGCAACCCATACGTTTTGCTTTTATATGGCTAACAATGTGCTACTCTAATTTTTGCAGGATTGGACAAGGAATTTGCCACCCCAACAGATTTCAGAAGGTGTAACATAAAAGGCCTCAAATAAACTCACTCCCAGGAGTGAAGAAGGTCACTCAGCTGAGTGAACCTACGAGAAGGAATTCTGAGAGTTTTCTAACCCTAACGTCACTCACGTAAGTGGAACAATCCACTCGCCTGAGTAAGAACAACTGTACGACACTTTCTGCAAAAAGTCACCTTTTTGAGCTGTAATTATGGTTTAAGTTTGGGGGGAAATTTTTCTGGAAATTTTCAAATTTCAATTTTAACCACGTCCGCCTTTTTGAGTCACTTGGGTCAGCCACGATTTCCAAAAACTTTAACTGCTGTGCATTAACTCACAACTCCTCCATTGCTTCGTCTTCTTCATTTTCTTCTTATTTCCAGAATTACTTCTTCAAACACCACTTCCCTGTGTGAACATACTAACAATTTTTCTGAGTTTTTTTCCAGGCAACTAAGGCAATTTTCAGATTCAATCACAAAACCCCTCTTTCAATTTTCCAACAGAACTCTTAGGGTTTGTAAAAGATGCCGCCGGCAAGGAGGAAGGCTGCTGCCCGCAAAAACGCCTCCAACACAAGAAGAAGGATATCATCCTCCTCATCCTCACCCTCCCCTGAACGGCAAAGAATGCCTACTCCACCATCGTCCCCTGCCAGAGAACCTACCCCACCGCCACCTCCACAACCACCAAGGGCGTTGCAAGAACAAGCCCTCAATGCCATCACAAATGAGTGGGAGCCAGGTTGTTTCCAAGGAAGAAGGGTTGGGATTTCTTTTTGAAGCACATAAGGCGAAAATTCATTACAGAAAGGGGAATCGGTGAAGACGGCGCAGCTTTTGCCTACATCAAGCGCCATGGCTGGGAGACCTTTTCCAACCCACTTGTCAAGCCAAGGATCCAGATTGTGCAAGAATTTTATGGCAACTTCCACACTGCCCCCAGAGATGGAGTATTCGTCAGAGGCATCAGCGTCAATTGCAGCACAGAGGCTATCAGGGCCATCTGGAAGTTACCAAGAATCAGCACCGATTACAGAGAAACCCTGGCTGCCCTGCATCCAAATCAACCACTGGAACAGGCCATTCTGTCCAGATTGGCAAAAGAGGGCACAAGCTGGGAGATGGATGATCAAGAAAACCCTTTGGGATTTCCAGCAAACGCGTTGTAGACGCCTGACTTAAATCTGTGGCACCATTTCATCTGCTGCAATCTGATGCCAACATCCTAAACTTCTAAGGTCACCTATGAGATGGCTCTGCTGCTGTATGCTATTGTCACGGACACACCATTTGATGCAGCCTCAGTCATCTGAGAGCAACTCACCCGATGCATCACTGATCCAAAGGTGAAGAGCTGGTATTTCCCAGTTATGGTCACCATGTTGTGCAAAAGGGCAGGGGTGACCTTCCTGCACACAGACGTAGAGAACAACTTGCAGCAACCATTGAGGATGCATAAGTTGGACCAGAAACCCCCAGGTGCCTCATCCGTAGGACAAGCAACATCCACTCCCACTCCAACTGGACAATTGAGGCAGAGGGATTTCAACAAGCAGACCAAGTTCATCCTGGATTACGTCCACCAATGCCAGATGAGGACGGAGAAATTCTTGCAGGAAATACACAAGTGCATTGGATGCCCTGAAAACTGCCCAATGCCGCATGATCCACCAGTCCACCCACTCCATGGCATGCCTCAATGAACACTCAGGGAAGTGTTGTTCTGCTTCCCTTAATCAGCAATTTATTTGTTTTCTGTTCTGTATTTTTCTTTGTTTTCTGTTTAATGTATGTTGCCGGGTTGGTGTTATTAAGCATTGAGGGCAATGCTTAGAATAAGTTTGGGGGAATAATGTAGTAGTTAGTTAGTTGAGGTTAGGTCAATGTAAGGACAGTGTCATTTAGGTCCATTGGGTTCATGTCTAGGTTGACTCTGTAAAATATCTCTCAAAAATGAAAATCTTTTAAGGAGCTGTCAACAGTTTAGGATGATAATGGTTTTGAAAAACAATTTTGCTAAACCACTTTTTGATACTGAGTCTGATGCATGAAAGAAGAATGGCTGACACTCACTCACACACATGAACAATGCCACTCGTGGAAGTGACTGCCTAGAACATAAATCTTAAAATTTGGCATGACTAATCCACTGTTGTGAGCTGTGTCTAGTTCTGAGCTACAATTAGATAAGAAATGCCGTAAATCTGAGACTTCCTTTGTGGTATCCAGTCACAGCCTGCTTGAAAAATATATATATATATATATATATATATATTTATATATATATATATATATTTTTAGGGAATGGATCAACTGAAACCTTAGGGGTAACAGCAAGGAACCACCACAAAAAGTTCCCAACTGCAAGAGTAATAAGGGTTGAGGTATAAGGCAGTGGAGAGATAAGATTGAATAACACCCCTGTAGGTTGGTCCATCTACATTCCATCCACATTCCCATTCTAAAAATAAAAAAAAAATAAAAAAAAACATAAAGGCTGTGCAGGAAGTCCAGGATTGGAGTCTCAGTAGGTAAATCGAGTCAAGTAACTTGGGCAAGACCAGATCACAAGAATGACCACCAAAAGTTTAATCGGTTAACTTAGAATGGATTGGTAGGTTTGGCATGAACGAACACTTGTGGAATATGCATTCTAATTCCCTGTGAAGGTTGGTTGTTTGACTCTGGATTGCAGAAATATTTGGTATCCTTAAATGTATGTTTTCTTCACTTGAATCTGAGACAGAAAGTTGACAGCACCTATCTAGTTGAGTTTAAGGTTGTTGCTTTGTTTAGTGTCACTTGCCTGAGTGGGAACCCTCACTCAGGGGAGTAAGTCAATCTTCAGTTATTTTGACAATGTTGTCTCCCCTGTTTGTTATGTGCAATTCTGAAAGTGCCAACAAGAGTTTAGTGTTTTGCTTGAGGACAAGCAATTCTTCCAGTTTGGGGGAGTTGATAATGGCTAAATTGTTACATAAAAGCATCACAATTAACTCTGTATTTGATAAAAAATTGGGGGTATTTCGTAACATTGGTGCAATTTACTTAACTCGTTTTCGTGTTGTTGTTAGGTAAGGGTTGGATTGAATAATTACTGAAATTGAAAGCCAAATGAACAATTTATGGGCTGCTGAGGCAAGGTTGCTGAGCTGGACGAAGAAGAAGGCCCTTAGACAAGAAGTATCTTGTCATTAATGACTTTGCCTCCTCCTAGAGGCATGCTTGTCCCCCAGCCGCAATCTCATCCATCACTGCTGATCAATGAGAGCAAGACGGCCACTGCTGGAAGAAGAGAAAAAGAACGGCCAAGTTGGATTGCAGGCTCAAGACATTGGGAGGATTAAACAACTACAAGCATGGGGAGGCTCTGATGATGAAGACACCGGTTGCAAGGCCCTATAAAAGAGGGAACTGCACTCTCAAATGGGAATCTATCTCAATCTCTGGTTACCCTTTCAGTTGCTAAAAAACACCCAGAAAAACTCCAGGTAGAAGACAAGAAGAAGAAGAAATAGCAACAACTCAGTGAGGAAGCCAAGTTGAAGAGTAGCAACCCAGTTTCTTCTCAGTTCCACGAGTGAACCCTTTCACTCCCAGGAGTGGCTCAGAAACTGCACAAGCTTTCTTCTCATCTCTTGACTGTTAGCTTGAACTTTGTTTACTATGCTTACTTCTATGATGTCTTTTGATGTAGTAGATGTAGCATTAATCCATATGAGTAGCTAAACAGTTCTCAGGGGTTATTCTCCTCGACTGATGTTGTAGTTGTTGAGGCACTGGTTTTGTTCCTTGTTTTATGGTTGAAAGTTTTTTTACATTCATTTACTTGATCACTAAATTGAATGCATGCTAGAACTAAGGGAGATCTGGAAAGATAAACTTGGTTTGGATTGTTTCAACTTTGACTTATGACATAGAGGTAACAGTCTATGGTTTTAACTAAGATAGGAATATACTTAGTTGACATAAGCATTCTTGAAGGCCTAAGAACTTAAGGACTTTGTAACTGGAATCAATCATTGGAAAATAGATTGTTAAGGTTGCAAAGATGACAATAGGAAAAATGGAAACTGACTTAGAGTTATAAGTGAGCTGAACGAACAAGAACGTAACCATTACAGTGCTCATAAAACAACTACAACAGTAGGAAGAGGAGAAGACACCCCTGGCTTTTATTCCCCTGAGTGACTGTTTCCATTCCCCTGGGTGACACCTTGTCTGACTGGTAGTGTTTCTTTACAACAAATTTGGTAATTAGCTGTCCTCGTGGGATCGACCTAGCTTCCATTATCTACAAAAATCATAATCCAAGCTAGTAATATTTTTGGTGAACTCGGCACGCACCACATATTCTTGCGAACCCGAGAACGAATGTTATCAAGTTTGGTGTAAAACGAGCAAGAGGGGTTTTGTAATATTGGATAATCTCCTCGAACAGAGGAAAGAGGGGGAATCTTAGCCCTAGATATATAAAACAGTCATATACGGTAATTTTTCCCTCTGAGGAGAATTAGCTCTCTCGTTACCTATGGGGGCTCTCATATCTAACTCTACGGGAAGGTCATATCTCGTTCTAACTGCATTAACTTTATCACTAGAATTAATGGTTGAAGCAAAATCATCTACAGTTTTCAGAGATGGATTTCTAGCCATATCTACCGGAAACAAAGAGACAACAGTAAATCAAATCTATGCCTAGATATGGCAAATTCGACAATGAAAATCGATTAACAGTCAGATTCTATGGAATGAGAGCTTACCGGAAGTTGTTTCCACTCTCTTTTGGAGTTGTAGCCACCCAGGGTGAAATTCTACACACGCCTTGGTACCGGGGCAACCGGAATCGTCGCCGGCTCACAAATAGTGTCCTGGAGATGGCTCTTTCCAGGAGAACAGCAAGGCTTCTATGGCAGCGCCAGAGAAGAGCTTGGGAGAGAATTTTCTGCTTTAAGTTTGAAGTTGGAGGAGTTGGTCTGGGGCTCCTCGTCTCAGCTATTTAAAAAGGGATAGATGCTCCCACGATTTGACGGTTTGGCTATTTTCAAGAGAGCACTAATAATGAAAAGCCATCGTTTGGGAAGCGTGAGGAGTAATGGAACCTGTCCGCTCCATTTTAGGCGGGATTCCAATCGGGTCATCTTCCTGGGTTGGCTTTTGCCCGCGAAACCTATTCCACCTGACCTCAATAGTGGGCCTTAGATTCTAGGTTGTCCAAATCCACTTTGGGTCGAGTCCGGGTAATTTTTGTTTTATACCAAGCCTTGTTTATTTGATATAACTAACGCTTGGCAAGGGCACTTGACGAGTTCATATCCATCTTGGATTATCGGACCAGCACATCAAGCAATGTAAGTCCAACCGGCTCTGTTAGGGCGGTTTGAGCAACACGAAACCTTGTATGATTCGGACATCCTCTGGGTAACTCCATGTCTATAAATAGGGTTGATCACACCACGGTGGAGGTACGTTATCTCTAGCACCAATTACTACTCTCATACGCTCTTTAAACCCTTTTACTGACTCCATGCTTTTAAATAGGGTTCATTACACCACGGTGGAGGTACGCTATCTCTAGCACCAATTACTACTCACATACACTCTTTAAACCCTTTTACTGATTTAAGCATCGGAGTGTCTACCCTCGGGAGACCCCCGAGGCTCTGTTTCACAGGTTAAACCCTATCAGAGTTCCACATCCGACTGGCAAAAAAATCCACGCCTCGTCACACTGTTTTCGAATCACTCGGGTCTCCTCCAACCGCCCCAGGCATTAACTAAGACTTGAGTTTTGATCGGGATAATATATATAACCATCAATCTCAGTTTGTTTTCTGCTTTCGGAACCACTAAAACAACTGGAGGGTATAACCTAAGAATTTCTTTAACCACTGATGTTAGGTACCCCAATTCTTCGATGTTGGCCTCTTCAATTCTTCCCTTTTCCCTGAGAGCTGTCCTGATCTCATGTAGGAGTCTGGCCATCACCTGAGGCTGAAGATGTCTAATCAACTCAGCATTGTGAATGGAAAGAGTAAGGAGTCCAAAAAAGACATCTACTTAAGGACTCCAAAATAGATATTCATTTATATGTTAATCAAACTTACCAGCATCACAGTGTTGATGTTGTTTTTTGTTATTGGAAGTTGAAGGTCATCGCTATCCTTAACTCTCAGTAGAATATCAATTAGATCTTCATGACCAAGTTCACCTGAGAACGATGCTTCTGATTTCTGTAAGTAGTCATTGAGATACTGTTCAATGATGTTCTCCAACACCCTGTCCAGCTTTCGATGGAACTTCATCAATTCGTCTTTAGAGATGGGAACAGATCAGATATATCAAAGGCACTGGCAAGAGGCAATGATTCCTTGGCAAGTTCTAGGAATTCAGTCTGGTCATCTTTGCTAACTTTCCCAAATGCGCTGATCAGATCACCGTGGACCTAGAGTACATCTTCTCCCAGTTTTTCTGTCAAATTAACTGGTAGAGAACTATCAACATGAGATTTAATGAGATTCAAAGCCTCCACCTGCCCAATCGAGCCATATGACAATATTAGCAGTGAGTCCAAAGTGCAGATTTTGCGCATTTGTCTCCAATACTCCCCATGAGGAGCAAAAACAATATCTGCACAATTGTAGCTCATGAGTCATTGCTGCCAGGAATTCTGCGCTATCTACGAAAGCGGAATCTTTGGCTTTAATACCTTTTTGGCCAATCTCTGTGATGATACTACAATAGTAGGAATTTCTCCCAGCACTAAGTGAGCCAGAGGACCATAATCCTGAAAAAATTTTCTGAGAGCATGATGGGGTGGAGCATCATTCAAATGATGTTAATGTCTAACTATAGCTTTTTCTGGGCTGATTGAAATTTCTTCCAAATGAATATTGTTGTAAGAACTGTTGAGGTAGCATAACTAGTAGTGAAATTGACAATGGAAGTTCCCATTTTCAAATCTCTCTCTTACAGCTCTTTTTTCCTTTTCTCAGCGTTGATTGTCGCTGAATTCCAGTAAGAGTTGGTGGGTCATTAAATTATTGTAGTTACAGTTGTTGGAACTGAATGCTTTCAATTCCATAATATACTTCCTAATGATAAGGCTAACCACATGAACATGGTGTAAATAATTTACAGGGAATGACGTTACGTGGTTTTATACTTCAGTACCTGAAATGAGATTCCTCTGCAAAGTTGGCTTTCAATTTCATACTGGAATCTGCAGGCCAAAAGCCTGAATTTGATGTGGAGTAACATATTGATACGCCATCTGATTTCTAGCCATATCAGTAATGCTTCACAATCATTTGACCATCCAAGCTCTAGGATTAGTGGCCTGAGCTTCTTTTTCATTAGCCACTTCCAAAATGACACTGGCGGTAAGTTAGAAATAAGATCAGTACCAGAAAAGCCACAGTAGATAAACAGCTTGTTTTTCCCGGTCAAAGAATGTTGAACGAATAACATATGACAGACTTGTTCGTACATGTTTATAACAGACATCACTTCTGTGGTTTTACACGAACTACCATTACAAGAAACAATTTAGTGGAAACAAAAAAGAAAAGAAAGGTATTGTCCACCTCTTATATCATGTTGTATGACCCCTTGAAGGTTGACAGTTTGTGCTATATGGCTAACTACTTTCTTCTTTTTTTTTTCCCGGTAAAATGGCTAACTACCATCCACCCTTTTGACAAGGCCAACAAGTTCAACATTTTCATCAGTTGGGGGTGTTTCAGAGTCCTCTTTTAAATTTGCAATATCATCAGGAAGAATGGAAGAGTTAGGATCAGCTTTTGGAACCAGAAATAATAAAGATAAAGGAGTTAGTCGCAGGATGTTTCTGATCAAAGTGGCGAGCCAAAGGTTATCAAATTGCGTTCTTGTGACTTTCAGGGCATGGAGTAATAAGCTTCCTCCCCATGATGATGTCATGACTCCAGCATTATCAATTGACATGAGTAAGGCAAAAAAAGTTCCTTCAATTCCAGGAGGACAAAGTTTGGCGCTTAGAACAAGGAGTGGCATCCACTTAAGGCGCCCGATCATCTGAGACACACTGGCATCAATTACCACAAAAATGTAATCGGGGATGCCAAGTTTTAAGTTCAAACGTAGAACCAGCACCAAATCCAGCATTCCCGAAAGACCAAGCAGCAGCTGAGTCCAGAAGAGTAGGTCTCGAAAGGGATGATTTTTCAACCCATATTGATATAAACCAGTTCCCAAGAGCGAGCCAACAGAACCAACTGCCATCACAAAACCCATGCTTTCCTAAAAGACTAACATACTCAAATAAGACAGTTATAAATTGCTGAGTGTAAATCATTGCACTTAAAAAACATTCCACCCAACGTACTGATCCAACAAGTATGAGCTATATGCACACAGTGAATCATTGTCTGTCATACATTCAAAAATTTCTACACAATTGCAGAACTGACAAAACAAAAGCAACTGGTCGCCAACTTTTTTTTTTTTGCAATCCTGACCTAGGCTGGAGATCATTCATTTTCTGATAGTGAACAAAAGAATGGTTCATCTGTCTGAACCCGTTGAAGACAAGGTAGCTATCTTAATAAAGACTTAAAAGGAACATAATTTGTAAGATAGCTATAATATACACTAGCGATAAACATAGATGCAATGCTAGTGGATTCAAAAGTAGTCTAGAAAATCACTGAACAAGCAAGAGGAACTCAATAGTTCCTAACTGAAATCTGATATAGAACAGTTTGTTTGTTATGTCAGGATTATGTGATCAAGTACACCCAGATTTCCTAATGTTAACATTATCCCTGCCAATAATAATGTATGGTTAATGGTAAGTAGCTGATCTCATTAGCGTGTTTCATACCACCTAAGAATGAGGATTTCATACCTTAGAAAAAGCTGGACCTGCCACCGGATCAGTGATCCAATAGAAAAACCCTTCATATATATCTACACTGATTGCAAAGGACAAATACATATATAAGCAAGGTCTCCACACACTTGGGCTTCTCAATGTTTCCCACATAGCTTTGGAAGCATCAACAAATTTTTGGCTGACCTGATAACGGAAGAGAATCAAGTTTAAGCCTCAAAAAAGCATACATAATTAAAATAGGAAGCTCAATGTACCTGCTGGTAACCCAAGTTAGTAGAAGTTTGAGGTTCCTTGAGCAAAACCCCAACTAAAAACACAAGAAGTCCAGATGGTATGCACAACAATCCTAAAACACCCTTTCATTTGTTGCCATGGGGGGAAAAAAAAATCACTTCAGCTCAATTAAAAAGAAAAAGGAAAAAGAAGACATTAGATGGAGCATTTTGGGGAACAATGGTCTTACTTTTGGACCAATTAAGTGAAGAAAGACACCGCTTAAAGTGAATCCGACAAGCGAACCAATTGAAGAACTCAAAGAGCATAAGCTTTGCATATCGGCTGCAAGATAAGGGATGGTGCCACTATTTTGGGCCACACAGGCATCAACAGTTACATCTGCTATTGCAACTCCGGCACTTCTTCCAGTCAAAAGCAGCAGCGCAAGTGCAATATGCAGTTGCTTGCACAATGACAAGAACAGCATCGAAATTAGGCCAAGACAACCTAAGATAACGAAGATCAGAGCTCATCTTTGGAGGAGAACTTCGGTGAAAAGTTTTTGAAACAATGTAATTTGACCATATGAATGGCTTCATAGCACCAAGATTGACACAGAAAAAATAACACTAAGAAAGGAATAGACCTGAATGTCTATAAGAGGTACATCAGAGTACTTAAAGTTAGTTATCAGTTATTCTCCCGCAACATTAAGAATTTAAATAGATTTTTTCATCACCAGTAAGCAACTGCTATACTTACTTTCAGAATGTAATCTATGGAGCTACTTAGAGTCATGACGATCCTCTAATTTCCACACTAAACAAAGGCTGAAATGTAGATGTTGAATAATATTGGCATGAATACATCAAAAGGTGAAAAGAAAGCAATTGTTTTGAAGGCCTTCCAGCGATGGATTGGGAAGTGTTCTGTAGTAATGGCAGAAGTAAAAGCAATTCTTTGCCCATGGGATTTCTAGAAATCTTGGGTGCTCGAAAGTCATTTTTGAGGGTGACTTACTAGAGGCTTTTGAAAGGATCCAAAGCCGCGAACAGGGAAGCTCTTAAATGGATTCCATACTCAGCAAAATCTATGGAAGACTACCTTAGGACAGGGAGTTTGAACTCTAGTATACCTTCCAAAAGAACAATATATGTTTTCATATACTCACAAAGGCCATATTAGATTTAGGTTGAGAGGTACTGGTTAGATATATGTAGTATTTACTATGTTAGTAAAGAAGGTTGTAAATGAGGGCATAATCCTAGGTCATAGAAGTTAACAGGGGAAAAAATATAAAAATAAAGAGAGAAAGAGTAAGAAAGTGACCGAGAGTGAGACACAGAAACCACTAAACAAAAAAAAGCAGCCTGAAAATGTATGTCGTCCGCCCCATTTTGAGAAAAGGCATAATTAGTGTACATTAGTGGTGGCTTGTTATCCTGTCAAATAGTATTTCCACCTCCTCCACCAAAGTAACAAACCATCAATTTCTTTACATTTTCACAGCTTGAATAACTCAACTACGCTCAAGAGGGACAACTGGACAAGTGATTCCTCATTGTCCAAACCAAATAATCTTCAGTTCTTTTGGCCCTTTTTCCCTGTTCATGTCAAGATGCTCGAATAAGGCATGCTCTCCGTATAAAATGAGAGAAAATTAACATAAAAGAATGCAAAATTGATTTCGCCAACATGACCCCCACTCCTAGTCCTTTCCTCCTTTGAAATAGTCTCATTGATGTCATCAGTATGCTATGTTGTGCTTCAGAATGATTTTTTCTGTCAAATAACCAAATTTTTTTCCTATGCTAAGTTCACTTGCTTTGCATCTTTAAGGGAGCATTATCATACCCTGCTTGCTGTTTTTCACTACTTGCTCTTCAATCATATTGCGAATTACATGGAAAGTATCTTTTCGCACATGCCAAAGAAACTTTAGTTCATCATAAATGCTACTGTAATACTGTTGACACTAAATTAACTAACACGGAGATGGAACCCAAAACCTACTTTGTACAGATTATCATTTAAAACTCGCAAAAGATTGACGAACATACAAAGCAGATCGAGTAAAGCTACTTCCAAATGGTATCTAAGATATTGGTGCCAAAAACTTACATCTAAAAGGCTTAACTCAGCAAAATCATGGTAACAATTGATTGCTAAGCAAGGAAAGCTGGAAAAGAGAAACAAAAAATAAAAATAAAAAATGTTTTTAGCACAAGTACACCAATCATCTAATTGAAATCCACGTTTAACTCCAAATCTCAATAGTGTTTGCAAGTCCTAAGACGTTATTTTGTAACAGCATTTCACTTTTACTCCAGAAGCAGGTTTTATGCATCATGAATCAACATCTAATCAAAATGAAGAGCCACAAACACAAGAGATAAATATAGCGCAGCAATGAATTGAATTGTTACCTGCGAAAACCAAATAGGGCCTCCGACGATACCCCAAAATGGGAACAACATCCGTGAACAGACCCCAGATAGGCTTCACAATCCAAGGAATGTTGATGATTCCAAAGTAAAACTGAGATTCTGAAGGCTGCACTTGCTGCACATCCTTCATGTAATATTCTGTTCCAAGACGGGCAAATGCTCCACCAAATCCTTGGCTGATCCCATTTATGACCACCACTCCCAATACAAAACTCCAATGGGTTTCACTGGCCAGCATCCTGAGCCAATTAACCGGTTCACAGAAACAGCCATTGTTGCTGGAGATCCCATTTTTGTCCTCTTTTTCTTCCTCCACATCCTCCACATATATTGGAAGTTCCTCTTCCTCCCCCATCCCTCCCTTAGTTTTTCCTGAAGTTGATTCTTTCCTCAGAAGTGGCAATATCCCATTTCAAATCTCCATCTTGTCCATCATTATGTGAGAACTCGAAAAGTCAACTTCTTGTGGAAAAGGAAGATCTTGGTTTCCTCTGAAGACAGACAATCTAACAATATTTAACTGCCCTTTTTCTCGATTGAATCGACTTAGAAGTAGCTCTCTCGAGAAGACCTTTTTCTTTTTTCCTTATTTACGTAATGTCTCTCCAGAGTATTATGGTTGACCTTGAGTAGGTTACCTTTGTCACTTAACTTGCAAACCTCCTCGAAAATCTGCATATGATGATGATATTGAATTGTGTTGATGATGACCAGAACATTTTCTGTTTCTTCCAATTTGGTTGGCAAAAAGGTATCAGGAACTGGGAGAAATTGCCAAAAGTAAGCTGAAGCCTGAATATTTGTCAACAAATAAGAAAAAGATTTGTCCTGTCTGGATTGTTTTTCAAGTTCTTTTAGTTCAGTTCATTCTAGTGCTACAGACAGGAAACCAGCTTTTCTTCTTTTCATTGCTTAAGTTATCAAACAATGTTGAACAAGTTAACATATTAAAGAATTTTCCGTACATGTTTATAGCTGACAATGCTTTTGTGGTCTTTACATGAACTACCATTACAAGAAATATCAAATTTAGTGGGAAAAAAAATGGGTATTACCCACTAGAAATTTCACTATTAAGTGGTGAATCACCTTGTATATCATCATGTGGTAAGACCCCCCTACGGCTAACTACTATCCACTCTTTTGACAAGGCCAACAAGTTCAATATTTTCATTGGCTTCTGGTGTTTGAGAGTCCTCTTGTAAGGATCTGATATCATCAGGAAGAATGGAAGAGTTGGGATCAGCTCTCGGCACTAGAAATAATAAAGACAGTGGGGTCAATCGCATGAGGGTTCGGATCAAAATGGCGAGCCAGAGATTGTCGAATTGCGTCCTTGTGACTTTGAGGGCATGAAGTAAGAGGCTTCCTCCCCATGATGATGACATGATTCCAGCATTATCGATGGACATCAGTAATGCAAAAAAGGTTCCTTCGATTCCAGGAGGACAAAGTTTGGAGCTTAGAACAAGAAGTGGCATCCACTTGAGGCGCCCGATCATTTGAGAAACGCTGGCATCAATTACCACGAAGAAATAGTCAGGGATTCCGAGTTGTAAGTTCAGGCGCAGCACCAGCACCAAATCCAGCATTCCAGATAGACCAAAGAGCAGCTGAGTCCAAAAAAGTAGGTCTCGGAAGGGATGATCTTTTAACCCATACTGATATAGAGCAGCCCCAAATAAAGAGCCAACAGAACCAACTGCCATCACAAAACCCATACTTTCCTGCAATGATATCCAGAAATGTAACTTGATAAATTGAAAAGGCAGGTCAAATAGGTTGGACTGTGGGAGAAACATTCTATCCAACATAATGAATGATTCAAGAAGCACGAGCTATCAATCTGAGTAGATCATAGTTCATTTTTATATTTGATTTTCACCATGCACAAATATATTAAAACACACAAATTAGCCATGAATGTTTCCATGCAATTCAGAACTTGGGTTAAAGACCATTGCACTTTTTAAATGTATAGACTGAAGCATGGTTAGTCTGTTCTAAGCCTGCCACCAGTACAAGGGCACTTCATTAAGAAAGACCTTCAAATGAATAAAATGCGAAGTTGGATATCTACTCTACCAAACAGCAGTGATGCCATTTAAATATATTCACTGCTAGGAGATTGAAATATGAGCAAGCCAGAAACAAATAATGCAAAATGCTATTTGACATAAGAAACTATCAGCGCCTGTTTTAGTCAAAGAAGATTAAGACAGGCAATACATGTTAATGTTAACATCTTCCAACTGCAAAGTAATAAGATTGATCTTTCGATCAAATATTTAACATTTCTTCCATATCAGATGGTAGATGGAAGAGTGTTGCAAATGGCTTGTCCAGCTCTTGCTTTCTGATGTTACTGGTAGATAGTAGTAAAGACTCCCACGTTAATATGTTTCATTTTAACATGAATGAGAATTTGCATACCTTAGAAAAAGCTGGACCTGCCACCGGATCAGTGACCCAATAGAACAACCCTTCATAGATATCTAGACTTACTGCCAGCGATAAATACATATATAAACAAGGTCTCCACACACTTGGGCTTCGTAATGTTTTCCACATAGCTTTAGCAGCATCAACAAATTTCTGGCTAACCTGAGGATGGAGAAAAGTCAGATTTAAATCTCACAAAAGCAGACATAATTCAATGAACGGTTTCGCGTACCTGTTGGTAACCACAATTTGCAGTTTGAGGTTCCTTGAGCAAAAGGCCAACTAACAACACAAGCCCAGATGGTATGCACAACAACCCTAAAACACCCTTTCATTGTTTGCAATGGAAAATATACAAGTTACTTCAAGATCAACGAAGACATCAAATGAAGAAATTCCAGGGAGCTAAGTCTTACTTTAGGGCCAAGTAAGTAAACGAAGACCCCGCTTAAAGAGAAACCAATAAGTGAACCAATTGAAGAACTTAAAGCGCATAAGCTTTGCATATCAGCTGCAAGAGAAGGAATGATGCCACTATTCTGCGCCACACAGGCATCAACAGTTACATCTGCTATTGCAACTCCAGCACTTCCTGCAGTCAACAACAGCAGTGCAAGCGCAATATGCAGTTGCTTGTGCAATGACAAGCTGAGCATCGAAATAATTCCAATACAACCTGAAAAATAGAAATTCTCTTTGTGAGCACTTTGGCTAACATTTTTGTAATCAGTGCACACACTACAACTTCTTGTCAAGGTATAAATTATTTTTGGCATAAAGAAGTTAATTTATCTTTCCTTCATTGCCTAAAGATTGACCCAAATAACACAACACTAAGAAAATATAAGACACAAATGTAAATCAGAGTATTTTCAGATTAGTTGTCTGCTATTGTCCCTCTAGATAAAATACTTTAAGTCGATTCTCTTGGGCATCCATAAGCAAGTGCCACTCTTACTTTCAAAATGTTTATTCTGATCCCGAATTTCTGGCTTCTATTTAATCAAGAAAGTGTGGAGGTCAATTGAGAGTAACGATGATCCTAGCAAAAGGCATGCTAACTGTAGCTCCAATCAAAAGCATTCTCAATCTTGAAATGCATCAGCAGAGAGTGAAGAGAGAGATCAAATGAGGGAATAAGAGGCCAGAATACCAACAATGCAGCCTTAAAATCATGTCAACTACCACCTAAAAGAGATACAATATAACATAACCATATGGTCACTTTTGATACCATCAAATAGCTAACACCAGCCCTCCAACAAAGTAATGACCCGTGATTGTTTCTTTTTTTACCAACATTTTCAGCCATTTTTAATTGCAACTGAACATCTTACACCATAAGCATAGCTCAAACAATGGACCAAGGGCTCAGAAGAGAAAAGTGCTGAGTGTAGGCCAACTCAAATTATTTTTTTGTTTATGTTGAGTGTCAAGATACTCCAAGAAGGCATTATCTGTATAGAAAAGAAAAGCAAAATAGCATAAAGATAATAAAGTTGATTAATATCATGACAAGATACTTCCTACTCCTTTCCACCTTCAAAGTAATTTCATGAACTTTTTTAGCGTAAATTTGCACCAGGTCATTTTCTATTCTAAAACTATTTAACTCCGAGTAAAATAATATTTGAATGCTGCTATGGTCTCCCTGAACTCTTATACCAGTAACTCCTCAGCTATCAATCATGTAGCAAGCATATGAAAATGTCTGTCAGCCCACGCACAAAGAAATTTTCATTTATTATAAATTCCATGGCTGAATGCAAGCCCAATGCAACTGGTCGAAGATGTCAATATATAGCAAAAGATTGAGCTAAGCAAACAGATGCAGTAATGTTAATTCCATATATGGCCCCATAGTGACAAAGAAATTTATCAATGCCAGACTGTATTTTTCAATCCATGACTATAAGAACATCTCCAGACGTTTGTTAATCCAATTTAAGCACAACATTTGGACCATCTAAAGACAAATGAGAATAGGGGACCTCAAGTCGAAACACTAACAATGTTGGATAGGAGTTGCAAGTTCTAACATACTGCATTAGAACGGTACACAAGCAGCACTTTTACGCTTTAATGGATCAGCAGAAAATAAAGAGCTTAAAACACAAGTGAAAATTGAAAATGAAATATGCTGCAAGATAGATTTTTAAAGTTCTACCACAAATTGTTACCAGCAAAAACGAAATAAGGTCTCCGACGATACCCCAAGATGGGAACAACATCCGTGAGCAGACCCCAAAGAGGCTTCACAATCCAAGGAATATTGATGATTCCCAAGTAAAACTGAGATTCAGAAGGTTGAACTTTCTGCACATCCTTCATGTAATACTCTGTTCCAAGACGGGCAAATGCTCCACCAAATCCTTGGCTAATCCCATAAACTACCACCACTCCCAATACGAAACTCCAATGGGTTTCCCTGGCCAGCATCCTGAGCCAATTAACTGGTTTAGAAAAACAGCCATTGTTGCTGCAGATCCGATTTTTATCCTCTTTTTGCTGCACATCCTCAACATAAATTGGAAGTTCCTCTTCCTCCCCCATCTTTTCCTCTGTACTTCTTCGAGATAAAAAGTATATTCCTCCTCGGAAGTTGCAAAATCCCAGTTCAAATCTCCCTCTTCTCCATGATTATGTGAAATCTCATAAAGTCAACTCACTTTTTTCCGGAAATGGGAGGATCTTGGTCTTGTCTGAATACTATAAAACAATATATGAACTCCCCTTTTCGGGGATTTGATTTCTACTTGGTAAAGTCAGCTTAGAACTAGCTTTGAGAAATTTTCAGTGGGAAATCTCGTTTGTGGAAGATGAGGTAAAGTATAACTATCAAGAAAACTATTTTCCTTTTTGCTTATTTACGTAATGCCTTGGGCACTATAGTTGACTGGAAAAAAAGCGCTCCGACTGGCATCAAAACCTTTTTCCTTTTCGTCAACTAATTTGCATATCTCATCCTTAATCTAAACCTATGAATATAAAGTCTTCTACGATGATGTTGAATTGTTGATGATGACTAGGCAATGTTCTGTTTCTTCAAATTTCGTAAAGGAAAAAGGTGTGAAGCCAGTAAGGAACGGGGAGAAATTTCCAAGGTTAGCTGAAAATTTGTCAACAAGTAAAAAAGATCTGTCCTTATATCGATAGCTATTTCATTTTTCATTTTTTAATTTCAAAAATTAATACTCCGAGCTAAAAGGTCGTAAAATAATTGTCTTGGATTGAATTTTCATGTTTGTACAATTTATACAAAGAAATAGAAGAAAAAAAATCTTATATACTAACATTTATTTTGAATGGGAGGAGATATCATCTTATTTTTTGACAAAATGATAGATGATTAAAACAAATCATGTCTCTTTCTAAAACCAAGAGAGAGAAAGTCCTCTCTTTCTCCAAGTGAGAAAGACTATTATCCAAATACATCCAAACACCCACTATCATTCCCCCTATTCTAACTCCTTAATCGGATTACATGCAGACCATTTTGGAGTATAATTTCATCAAATCGTCTTGAAATTCCCAAATCTGTTTATTTGTACTTCTCAATTTTTATGCATTCGAAATTTTCATCATGACTGTTTGGAATGCCCAATTTTCTGTCATTTGTTTCACATGCATTTTATCTAATTCTTCATAGTGCTCTTATCCTTCTATAAGAAATACTCTTTTGCTAATCTACTGCTTTTCAAACCTTTCAGCCTTGTTATCGCCAACTCTACCTTTTTTTCAAACCTTTTCTTATTTAGTCTTCCAATTTTACGGCTCCTAGATTCACTCATATAATCAATATGTTGTCTTTTAGTTGTCTAAGCAATAAAGGCGTTTGCCTTTCTGCTTGATCCTCTTTCCCAGAGATTCGTTCCAAATCCAAAGTTGAACTCCTTTGATTCCTATTCTGTATTTACTTCTTCTTTGTCCCTTTCGTCTTCCTGTCCTTTTATTATTAAAACTTCTTTGTCATCTGCTCTACTTACCAAAAATCTGATTCTCTGATATTCCCCTTCTTCTACCAGTAATTTTATACTGCCCCTTCTTTATTTCTGTCTCAAACACAATGAATTACAGACATGCAATCGATGAGGACTCTGTCACAGCCATGTCACTTGATGGTTCAGAATTCTCTGAGGAGCACCATGGTTTTAATCTGGCTATCGACCCAAATCCACAGCAGATCTACACTTCTCATTATCGTGCCGGAGCCATGAGACTCACAGAGGAGAATACTCATCTCTCACGAGACAATCTACATTTGTCGTTGCTAGGATGTCTTCTAGATGATCGAGAGTTTGATAGCACACGCATGCAGAAATATCTAAATGAAAACTGGCCCATGTATACCCGAATTCTGCACTATGATAGGAATTTCTTCATCATCAAATTCCTTAGCCGGGCTGATCTTCTTTGAATTCTGGACAATGGTCCATATGCAGTAGAGGGAGGGTTATTGATTCTGAGGCGATGCTATGATAATGAAGACTTAGCATTGGATTCAATCCAAAATGATAAGTTAAGCCTCTAGGTGCAGATGCATGGTCCTCCAATCACAGCGCTCAATTACTTAGGAGCACAAGATCTTGCAAAGAATGTGGGGGAAATTGCCCTCATTAAAGAGGATTGTGTCTTATTGTGTAAGGCCACCTATGTCAGGGCTAAAGTATGGGTACAGCTAGGAGATCCTCTGATCCCAGGTTTCTACATTGAAAAAAGAAATGGTAGATTTGCAAAGATTCAGTGCAAGTATGAAAATGTCCACAAGTTCTGTATGCGGTGTGGATGTCTGGGTCATCATCTACAGCATTGCCACATACAAGATAATCAGACACTAGAGGAGAATCTGGATGCCTTTTTCACAGAAAAGGAGATTCAGAATGGCTCACCTTTATACATTGACCCCAACAGGCCGCTCTTCACAGGCTCGATGTGTGCACATGGTCACAAGAAACGACGATGCACCAGAATCATGTTTAACAAGTATCTTCAATTACAGGATTTCTATGAGCATGTTCCAGAGCATTATGTTCAGGATGGCTTCCAGATCACAAAGCTGGATGAGGCGCATCCAGCAGCGTGGTATCCCATTTATCCACCAGATAATAACAATGATGATGATTAGAACAATGATGATGATGCTGATGATGGTCAAGGAGATGATGATGATGATGACCAGGGTGATGACTCGCATAATGATAACGTTGTCGACTCTGATGAGTATCATCAGAATGATCCGCTGTAGCACCCACAAGCCAGTGATGTCCTATCTAATTTCTTACAGACTGCAATCCGGGAGAACGCATTTATAGACACAGAAAGAAGAGCAGCCCCTGCAGTAGAGTTGGAATCCAGGCAAGACGTAGAATTTCAGCGTCTCCCTGATCCACAAGAACTATGCTTCTCTGATTCAGGTAGCTTCTACTCTTCTCCTTCACTGTTTAAGAATTCAGATTACTGTGGCAGTTCTGTTTTTGCGGAGTCAGACAGTGAAATGCCAGATTCCTTTTATCTTGTCCCTGAGGTTCCGCCACCTGATGATCTTTCTGATCGGACATCTTATGTCCCATCTTTGTTCATTGCAAATGTTCCTGATTACCGCCCTTTGATGATGGTTGATTCCCCTAATTCTGTACTAAATGTAGTGGTATCCAACTCTAAATCTCTTAGTACTGATAGGGATGTGTCTATTGTTTTGTTGAATACAAGTAGTGGGCCTGATAGTAATAGCCTTGCTGATGATAATCATTGTACTGTCACGAGTGCATTTACAGCACAGCTATACTACTCCTCGGATGACTCCAGTCATGGAGATACATCTTGTAATAGACAGGCTAGATCTCCCCCAACATTGAGAGGGAGGAAGAAAGCTACCAAGGTGACCAAAAGAAAGAATCATGGTTGGTTAATGTCCATTCAATCTCTGGAAGAGGAGTATCATTCAACCTCAAGCTCTGGTGTCAATCAATGCTGTTTGAAGGGAAGGAAGGCAGTGTCGGATTCTAAAATTTGGAGGCCTGTAATACAAAGCCACTGTGAGAGGTGATCACTATTGAGAGGACTATTCATTCATAAGGTTCAGGTGCCCGTCACTCTAGCAAGGCCAAAGTGCAATCTTCTGGTTCTTGGTGCATGACTGTGGAAAGTGACCTACTTTATGCATCCTCTGACTCTGATGGCAGCAGGAAACGGAGCTCAGAACAGGCATTGGAGGAAGCTATGGATTTGCCCACAAAAAGGAAGAACAGTGCGGATAGAAGTGAAGAGACAGGAAAAGGGCCTGTAACCCTGGAGATGGCCACTCCATTTGAGAACAATCTGATGTGCTTTGCGGCGGTTGTGCCAGAACGATTGTCTTTACCCCAATGAGTCTACTCTCATGGAACTACAGAGGACTTAATCAGGCTTCTACTTAGTTTTATTTAAATAAACTAGTCAAGCAATATAACTCTAATATGTTGTTTCTTATGGAAACTAAGGCCAGTAAGGATACTATAGTGGTCTAGTAACAAACTTCTCCTTACCTTCGCTCTTTTGTTGTTGACCCTGTGGGTTGTAGTGGAGGTTTAGCTCTATTTTTGTAAATGGTAGTAATGTAGATGTGCTAGTCAGTAATTTCAATGTAATAGTGGCCATCATAAAAGTGGCCTCTGGTTTTACCTGGCTAGCAGCTTTTGTTTATGGCATTCCTTTTCATCAAGGAAGGGCCAGCTTTTGGAATAGTCTAAATGGTATCCTTAGCAGTTTCTATTATCCCTCTGTTGTTCTAGGTGATTTTAACCAAGTTGTCCACCATGAGGATAAATTAGGTGGTAGGCCAGTTAGAGAACAAGATACAAGTGGTCTACGCAATTTCTTATAGCAAAATAACTTAGAAGAGCTGAGGCATCTTGGTTGGTTCTCATGATCAAATAATCGACATGACTCACAATATTTTTTTGAAAGGCTTGACAGGGCCTTTGTCACTCCTAACTGGTTGTAACATTTTGATAAAGCATTGGTTAGAAACCTCCCAATTGTCACCTCTGATCATGGACCTCTATTGCCGATGACAAAGGAAAAAGGTACAAAAGTAAGGAATAGGGAGAAATTTGAACAATTTTGGGCTAATTGTGATCCATCAAAAGAAATTTTTGCTTCTGTTTGGCAACAGGATAACTTGCAAATTGACTCAGCACAGGAAAAATTATCCTTTAAACTTCATGGCAGTTTGTCCAAACTACATAGATGGAGTACCTCACAGTTTGGAAACATTGACCAATATGTAGTTAAACAAACAGATCTTCTTCAATCCTGTCACATGCGTTGGGAAGAAGAAACTTCTAATCCATTATTGATGTCCAGTGTACAACATCAAAAAGAGGTGGTGGAAATGGCTCTTCAACATCAACAGGCTTTCTGGCATCAAAGAGCCAAAGTTCATTGGACCCTCCAAGATGATAGGAATACCAAATATTTTCATAAATGGGAAAATAGACGAAGAGGTAATAAATGGATTACAGAATTGAAGAATGCTAGTAATGTTTGGATTCAGGACCAGGTGCAGTTGGCTGCTCTTATACAAACTCACTTCACTGATATATATGTTGCTCCTAGTCAAACACATAGTCTCCAATCCTCCTTTTTTAATGCACAACTCAACAACTTGGAGGAATGTATCTCCCCAAAACAGGCAACTGCCTTAGCACAACATTTTACCAAGGAGGAGGTTTGGAAGGCAGTCAAGCAAATGGCGCCTTGGAAATCACCAGGACCTGATGGCATCCCTGCTGGGTTCTATAAAAGGTATAAGTTAGAAATTGGCATTGACCTGGAAACCACCATTCTGGATACAATGCACAAGCAAAGCTTCCTGGCTGAGTGGAATCAAACCTTTCTAACCTTGATACCTAAAATAACAAATCCTTCAGTGCCAGGGGATTTCAGGCCAATTAGCTTATGTAACACAAAGTACAAGATCATTACCAAAATCAACACCAATCGTCTTAAAGCAGTGATGAACATGCTGATCGATGAACACCAGAATGGATTCGTTCAGGGAAGGAATATTGCTGAGAACATCTTGATTGCACATGAAATGGTGGAATATATTAGAAAGAAATCTGGACCACTGGGTTTGGCGGCAATAAAACTGGATATGAGCAAGGCATATGATCGAGTCTCTTGGAAATTCCTTGAGAAGGTGCTTATAAAGGTTGATCTCCCAGACAACCTTATTCGTCTAATCATGCTCTGTATCTCCACAGTGACTTATTCTGTACAGTTTAATGGAGACTCCCAACGTTTCTTCTCTCCTATAAGAGGTCTCAGACAGGGTTGCCCCCTATCCCCATATTTGTTCATTCTGTGCCAACAAGTTCTGTCGTCGGCAATCAGGGTGGAAAACAGAAGTTTCTCAGGGCTTGGCATTAAAATTTGTAAAACGGCACCCAGAGTGAGTCATCTGATGCATGCAACTGATAGCTTATTCTTTCTTGAAGGCAAGGAGGATGCCATTCTTGCACTGGTAGGCATCATTCAAGAATATGCAGCATTCTCAGGTCAAAAGATCAATCTCAATAAGTCCTCCATCTTACTTAGTCCAAATACATCACCAGAAATGAAGGCATTTATCCATTCTACCTTACAAATCCCGGAAGGAAACTTTCAGAGTAGATATTAGGGAATGTCATTAGACTTCAGTGAGAAGAAAATGTTTATCTTTCAAGCTTTCACATCCAAGTTGCAAAACAAGTTTGCGGATTGGAAGACTAAACTCTTATCTTTAAGTTGCAGAATTACAATGGCCAAATCAATTTTAGCTTCGATGCTGGTTTATCCCATGGGAATTTTCCAACTCTCAGCAGAGGCAATTCATTGAGCTGAAGCCATCATTACAAAGTTCATTTGGAAAGGGGACTCCCAGAATAAAGGCATCCATTGGAAGTCTTGGAAGAAAATCAGCAAATCACAATTTCATGGTGGACTAGGATTGAAATCTTTCAAAGAGTTTAATCAAGCTTTGTTGGCAAAACATGCATGGAAAATCATGTCCACCCCTAGCTCCTTGCTCTCAAGATTATACAGGGCCAAATATTGCAATAATGGTACCTTTCCTTTGATTAAACCACCAAATCAACTATCTTGGGGATGTAGAAGTATTCAATGGGGGGCAAAATTACTCAGACATAAAGTTCAATGGAAGATCATTTCCGGGAAGGACATTAGAATTGAGGATAATTGGATTCCTGCACAGTCTAATCCGATTCATCCAAATTCACTTCTAGCCACTCACTCGGGTCTGCGAGTTAAGGAGAAAGAGGATGGCAGTTGGAAGATTCTGGTCCTACGCAATATTTTCCCTTCATCCATAATTCCTCGCGTAACTGGAATATTTGTGGATCCAACAAGAAGGCAACAAGGGGGACAAATTGATCTGGTCCGAAGAAAAGCATGGCACTTATACGGTGAAGTCGGGCTATCATGAAGCAATTAACCTATACAATCATCAACAACCCGCTAATCAGCATGCACACTCTCAACATCCAACACTAATTTGGAAAAAGCTGTGGAACTCTAAGGTTCAATCAAAACAGAAGATGCAATTTTGGAGAGTTCTTCTGAATGCTTTATCAATAAGGACGACACTACATAAAAGAGGAATGGATGTCACTTTGGATTGTCCTTGATGCTTGTTTGCACCAGAAACTAGTATGCATTTGATTTTGGATTGCCCGTATTCTAGAGCTCTCCAGAATCTGGCACCTCCAGTCTATGCTGAATTATTCCATCATACTAGTACCTCATTACTAGAATGGTTTGAGCGCAGGCTACAAAAGTGCCCTGATGCCTTCGATGTGGATCTCTTCGTCATCATTTGTTGGTGGATATGGATTGGCCAAAATGACAAATTATGGAATAATCACCAGCCTGACCCAATAGCACAATGGCAACTCATTCATCATGAGTTCAGCTGCCTAAAGAAACGATGTCGAAACCATCGAAGTTCTGAGATTGGTTTTCAAACTAGACATTAAACCCCTACCCTAGCTGATCACACCACAATCACCATGGATGGATCGTATGATCCAAGAACACATAGTGCGGTGGAAAATTGTGTCACCGACCGGTATGGTGCTACAAATGAAAGTAGTTAATGTCTACTCTCTATCCCCTTTTCAAACTGAGGTATTAACATGTCTCCTTGAAATTCGTGAAGCTTCCAAGCTTGGACTTGATAGGATTAAAATCCTTACGGATTGTGAGATGCTAAAAAATGATCTCAATACTCCACTAATTCAAACGGAGGTCCAGGAAGTAGCTTCACTTATTAGTACTTTACGTTCAAGTTTTACTCTCTGTGAAATTATAAAAGCAAGTAGGAATGATGTTGAGGAAGTACATAAGCTTGCTGATGGAAAAATGCAATGTAATAGAGTAGGTCTTCACTAATACACAGGACCGGTTTCAAAAAAAAAAAAAGATAGATGATTAAAGATTCTCAGTAGTACTACTAATCTGATGAGTTTGTAGTCTATAGAGATGAAATTGGATTGCAGCATAACATGCTCGGTAGGCAATTTATAGGGTGCACCCAGAACCACCGTGCTTCCCCTTCTATGTTTTGCACTAGGGGTCCTTATTGTATTATTTCTAAATCTTCTATATTTTGTAAGTTTAATCCCTGTCATTCTTTTCTCTCTACTTCAAGAAACATTTCTAATCTTTAAATGATCATATCTCTCGATCCGTGAAAAATTTGTAAATGAATTATACATGAAAATTATAGTACTCGACGAGACCTATCGAACAAGATTCATATCGAATATTTTTTTCAAACTTTAAGTGCATTTAAATTTTATGAGCAGAAATGAAGGAATATAATTTTTTTTCCAGAAAATTCTTATCCATTTTGGTCACACTAATTATCCAATCGGTTTGAACTGATTATCCATTTTGTTTGTACTGGTTTTCTTTGGAAAATCATTGTCCAATATGTTCCTACCGACTATCCATTTTGTTCACACTGATTATCCTATCCAATCTGTGTCCAAAATGGTTGTCCAACGTATTCATAGTGATTATCCAACTGCTTGGTATAGATTATACAACCATTATTTTCTTTACTTTTTGTAAAAATCCTTGTCCAATTTTTTGTACTGACTATCCAACCGTTTTATATTGATTATCTAATTATTTTCACTAATTATCCAAACAGAATTTCTTTTCTTTTGATAAAATATTTTTCCAATGTGTTCATACTGATTATCCAACTTCTTGTGATAGTTATCCAACTTTTTTTTCCTTGCTTTTTTATGAAAATAATTGTTCAATTTTTTTGTACTGATTATCCAACCAGTCTGTACTGCTTATCCAATTATTTTCACTGA